GGCGCGGAGCCTATTTATTTATTTTTGAGACAGAGCCTCAAGCTGTCACCCTGGGTAGAGTGCGTGGCATCACAGCTCATAGCAACCTCCAGCTCCTGGGCTAAAGCGATTCTCCTGCCTCCACCTCCCAAATGGCTGGGACTACAGGCACCCACCACAACGCCCGGCTATTTTTTGATGCAACCGTCATTGTTGTTTCGCTGCCGGGGCTGGATTCCAACCTGCCAGCTCAGGTGTATGTGGCTGGCACCTTAGCCGTTTGAGCCACACGCACCGAGCCTCCAATTCACCTTCTACATGTACACAACATCATACTATAAAACTGAACTCTGAAAAAGAAATAGACTTAAGAATTCTAATAATCCTTTATTTACTATTTACCAATCTAACCAAGTCACTTGCTATTCAAGACTAAAATATAAATAAGATATGTGGCTCAGTGAGTAGGGCACAGACCCCATATACCAAGGGTGGCAGGTTCGAACCCGGCCCCGGCCAAACTACAACAAAAAAAATAGCCGGGCATTGTGGCAGGCACCTGTAGTCCCTGCTACTCGGGAGGCTGAGGCAAGAGAATCGCCTAAGCCCAAGAGCTGAAGGTTACTGTTAGCTGTGACGCCACCGCACTCTACCGAGGGTAACGAGGTAAGACTCTGTCTCTAGGGGAAAAAAAAAGAAAGATATAGACATTAAACAAAGATGTGGTCAGGCACGGTGGCTCATACCTCCTAGCACTCTGGGCAGCCAGGGAAGATGAATCCCTTGAGCTCAAGAGTTTGAGACTAGCTTGAGCAAGAGCAAGACCATCTCTACTAAAAATAGAAAAATCAGGCCAGGCACGGTGGCACATGCATGTAACGCTTCTGAATTGTAATTTATACTGTACCGTTTATGTGCACCACATAGAAAGTACTAAACGATTACGTCGTTTTTAACTGAGAAGCTTTAAAGACTAGTACCTATTTCTGGCTCCTTTTACGAAAAACAGTCATAACAAAAAATACTTCATCATGTGCCAGACCCTGTGCCAAGTGGCATTTATACACTGCAATTCTCTCTCACACACACACAGAAAATAGTAATTTTGATGCAATTATCATCTCATGGCACTGCTGTAAAGATTAAAATAGACATAAAGTACTTAGCACAGTGCCTGGCAAATATGCACTAAATTTACGTTTACTAATTACTGTTACTCTCATTTCACAGACACAGATAATCACTTCGCCTAAGGTAACATAGCAACGGGAAGAAACAGGACTTTCAATCTAGGTCTGAAAATTCCCAAGCCTCCACCTTTCTTTGTTTTTATCCTCCCCGTCCCCTCCCCTCCCGCGCGCGCGGCCCCGTACAACAGGAGCAATGTTGAAACCCCGCCCCCCCCCGTCAGTGGTTGAACTCGAAGCCAGAAGACCTCCATTCTGATTTTCTCCTCTGACCTATCGAGCTGCTCGACATTACTTGCCGAATTAATGAAACACCAAGTTTCAATGACCAGTTTAGATACCAAGTAGCTTCCTGAACTCGGGCAAGATCGTCAGGTATCTGCGGAGGTGTTCCCTTCTGCAAACCCATTTGGTGTTTGATGTTAAAGTACCTTTTGGGGGAACAGCCCAGTTTTACCCTGCTCAAAACGAGTTAAGGACGACCGCTACCCTTCAAAGGTCTCAAATATTCGTGCTCTGCGACAAAACCCGTCACCTGGCCCCTAACCACTCCCGACGCCCCCGCGCCCCTCCTCCCAGGCGCAGGCGCGCATCGCACCTACTAAGCCTCTGCTTCCCACAATCCCAATCGGCCGAACCACTTCTGCTGGTAGGAGGGGACGGAGGCGGGGCTAGTGCCGCGGGGCGGGACGGAGCCTCCTGAGCTGTCCTGCTTGGGTCTATTTGGGTAAAGTTCGTTTGAAGAGAGATTTTCGGTTTCCCTGGTAAGGCAGGTCATCTGTCCCAATCAGGTAGGATTCTGCTCTCCGCACCCTCTGGGGTCCCCTCAGTGTAAAGTGATACATGGTGTAGCCCTCGCGGAGATACTGGCCGCCCTCTGCGGCAAAGACGCCTGCAAGTGTGGGGCGCCTGCGCACGCATGCGCGGAGGGGCCCGCTTAGGGGGAGGTAGCCTTCTGTCCCCTTCCTGGATTCGTCAGGGTGAGTAGGGCGACGTGGGGCGTGAGCGAGGAGGGCACCGACCTCGCTCCCAAGGGTTACCGTTAGCGTAACCACCACCATCCCAACTCTAAAAGCCTTTCACCCCAATCGTCTAGAAAATGGAAGTTGGGATGGAGGGGTCCCAGAAGCTCCATTTTGGGAGATATATATACATCCAATTAAGCCACTTCTGATATTTCATTGCCATTGTCTGTGTACACGTTTTTCTCTTTTTCTAAACTAGACCTTTTTGTGAGGGCTCACCATTCATCCTGGTTTTCCCAGCACCTAGCAAATCGCTCTTCCCAACTCAAATTCCTGGGCTAAATTCCTGGTTGAGGCGGTACTCCTACCTCAACCACCGGAGTACCTAGGAGTACAGGTGCGTGCCACCACACCTGGCTAATTTTTATTTCTTATATAAGCGAGATCTCACTATTTTGCTCAGTATGGTCTTGAACTCCTGACCTCAAGGGATCCTGCCACTTAGGCCTCCCAATGTGTTGGTGTTAGGGGTGTGAGCCACTGTGCCTGTATACTTAAAGTCTTTTGGACACTTGATGTTAACCAACCTAGTGTCAGCCTAGTTGTAGATTTTGTAATATTCTCTGTTTAGCATACCAGTTGGGGGTAGGGTCAGAAATCATTTGTTTTCACCATCTCGTTTGATTTGCCACTATTGAGTCTTCTAAGGAGAAGACTCCTTGAGAAATTGAGATGTTTGTTAAACTGGAACACAGTAATTGAAGAAATGAGGTGTCGATGAAATTTATAATCTGGGAATACAGGCAATTGAACAAGAGTCATTATTGTGTCCCAACCCTAACCGTTTTACACCTTCTATGTTTTCTTGTAAAATAAGATTAGATTAGATGATCTCTAAGAACTTTCCATCTGTAAAATTCTGTGGTTAGGAGTAGAATCCAGATCTTATCACAGTATGTTAATGCTAAACTTCAACTTCCATTTCGCTGCTAACATCAGGGAAATAACAGTTACAAGAATTTTGACTGTAGTATTAGTATTATTGTACTTAGAGATTTACACCCTGTCATTTTCCTCTTTGCCAAAAATAAGAAATTAACTGATGGCTGGCGACCATAGGTCAGTGGTTAGGGCACTGGCTACATACACCTCCGCTGGCCGGTTGGAACCTGGAACCTGGCCCTGGCCTGCTAAACAATGACAACTGCAAGGAAAAAAATAGCTGGGGGTGGTGCCTGTGGCTCAGTGAGTAGGGCACTGGCCCCACATGCCAAGGGTGGTCGGTTCAAACCCAGCTCTGGCCAAACTGCAAAAACAACAACAACAAAAATAGCCAGGTGTTGTGGTGGGTGCTTGTGGTCCCAGCTACTCGGGAGGCTGAGGCAAGAGAATCACCTAAGCCCAGGAGTTGG